CTGAAGAGTGCCTGTAAATGAAAAAAATAAAACTCAGAGTGAACAACTAAAGTCAAACTTCAAAAGTCTGAACAGAAAGGCTTTGATACTCTAAAAACCTGCATTTGGGTTTGCTTTCCTTTGACACAGGCTGTGCAGCAAGACTGAGAGGCGCGAGGAAGAAGCTCGTGTGTGCAGCTGAACCTTGACGAACAGCTACAGCTGCCAAATAAATCAGGGCTTTCCCCTTCAGATTTTTAAATAAGAGCGAACAGTTATTTATATTAAAATACGTGTGTTGTTTTATACGCCTGTGGAAAGGGCTGAGCCATTATTACCAATGACCTGATATACAGCTCTGTGTTCCTATAATAACCATCGATAAGGTAGGCGGGCAGCGTGCACAGGGGGAACGTATCACCGGGGATCTAATTAGTTTTTATTACTGTAATAACTCAACAGGTGGACCTGATGCTATTAAAAAATAATGAAAGCTTTATCTCTGCGATAATTATTTTCCCTTTGAAAGCACGTAGGGATGCGCGCACGCACACCCCTATGAACTGCAGATAAGAGGGTGAGCTCCAGTGATTAACTCCCTGAGCATGAAGTTGGGATTTATTCGGCAATTCCACTTCTGAGCAGGGAATGGGGCAGCGGGCGCTGCCTCCAGCCCCCCCACAGCAGTGTGGGTTAATTTAACCTGCTCGTTAAATCCCCCAGGCCCTGATTTTCACCAGCAGCTACACACCAGCACAGAGGTGACCCCACAGAAAGAAGGGAATGGGCACAGCCAAAAGAAACCCGTGCTTGGCTCCGAGCCGCACGTGGGGCTGCACCAAGGATCAGTTCCTGGTCCCTCAACAGCCACCGACACCTCCCCATCGCACCGTGGTGGGGTCACCAAATGCTGACCCAAAAAATCCCGCTTGGCCAAATCCCCCTCTGGAGTAAGGACGTGACCTGTCCGTGAGGTTTGTGGACTGCTGCTCGCAGCTGAGCCTGCAGGGCACGGCTCTAAGGGGGATTTGGGGACAGTGCCGTGCCTTGGCCTAAAACGTAAAGCTGCAAAACCTATTTGCGAGCGTTAAATTATGATCGCTTAATACAACGGTGATTTGCATCTCATTTGGATGAAGTCAAGGGTAAAATTCTCATTAAACCACCCGAGTAGAAATTGGTGTTCTCCTTTGCAAGAAACTTCTATTTTGTTCTTTCATTTCGCGTATTAACACACCTATTGCTTTGTCGTCATCCTGCAAAGGAGTTCAACCGTTCCTCAACTTAAATTATTTATTTTTTTTTAATAGACACCTACAGCAACCTGCCACGAGGGAGCTGGGAATGAACGGGTTGTTGGTTTTGCCTGATTTATTGTTGTGCCCAGCCCAGCTGCAGACCCCCCGGATATTTCGGTGCGCTCCGTAAATCTGCCGGCAGTGGTGGGGATTCTGCGTGTCCGCCTGGCTTTTCTTGCAAGCTTCCCAGGGCTGGCATACACGTGGTGTAGTTATTCCTCCACCCCTCCTTCCCATAAATAACTCCAGGAGTTATTTATTGTTCTCAGCTCGGGGTAATTGCCAGAAAATGAAGTTCTGTCTGGTTTTGCCAACGGGAGGAAAAAACGAGGGGTTTAACATAAAGCCCTGTTTGCTGCTCGGTGCGCCTCCTCCAAAACTCCTGATCAGAGCTGCCCAGATAAAATAAAATCTGCTTTCCTCCTAAGGATGCCTCCAGGAATTCCTCGGCCACCAGCTCCATGCCCCCCTGTCCCTTCCCCGTGCCACCCTCACGCTCCTGGCCCAGGTCCCCCGGCCAGGGCTGTCCTCACCAGCCCTCGCTGGGGCTTTTCTGCCTTGCTCCTGCATGGGATAACAGCTTTCCTGCGCCAGAAACAAATTAGATTTTCTTGTCAGGAACTAAACTGCAGGACTCTTTCACCACTAGATCAAAGGGCTCGTGTTAGTTCCTATTTTGAAGGGCCCCGTACAGCTGGATGACAGCAGGAGGAATTCACCGCGCCCCGCACAGCTCCTGCTCACCCCTCCAAGGGGTTTTTAGGCCAATGCCTCTGAGCAGAAACAAACCTCACCCAGAGGGGCAATCGGTGAGATGCTGGGATGTTATTAGAGCATCGCTGTCCCCGTCCCTTAATTCGCAGAGGGAAGTAACAGAGGGGAAAGTGAGCTGGTGTAGTGGCAAAGACCCCAGAGTTAGCTGCAATACGGGGTGATGCTGCGGGAAGCCTCCCAGTATTAAGCACAAGTCCCTGAAATGTGCCACTGCTTGGCAGTTTTCGGATTATTTATGGCCTTTTATGCAGAACAAACCTGCCTGCCTCCACAGGCTTCCCCATCAGCTGGCAAACAAGATGACATGAAAAGCTTTATGAATAACACATGGAAACAGAAAATAAGATGGATATTACAAGGCAGAAGGGAAGAGAGCCACCGCTTAAATAATTCCGCTGCATTGCCACCTGCCCTAAATGATTGAGAAGGGCAAACGGAGCCAGGTGAGGCCGGGGCATGGCTCAGAGGACGATTTGCTCAGGGACAGTGAGCTGCTGCCCCCAAACCACCAGGGATCACTCCGGGATTTGTCCTGGCTGGATTGAATCAGTCTGTGGGTCCCTCACAGCACTCGCTGTCCTGGTGGCCAAAGCAGAGAGAATTATTGTGTCCATTACCAAAAAAAGAGAAAAAAAAAAAAAAAAAAAGGCATCACTTAATTTTGTGAGCAATAACGTGTTAGCTATAAATGTTATCTTTCAGCAGTAACTGCTCCAGAACTCAGTTATGGGCTGGCTACAGCAAAGCATGCCGGCACTGCAATTCGTTAACATTGTTGATTTTCCCCCCCCAAGCATATGCTGAAATTTGATTACACCCAAGTAAATCTGTTTGTCAAACATTAATAGCCTCCTTCCATTCTATTACTCTTTTTCTACCAGCGCAGCCATCACATATAAATATTTCAAATCATCTCACTCAATAAAGCCAGTCCAAGGGCATCACGACCTGATGATTTCAGATTGTTATTGACATATTTATTGGAGGCCACTGTGTTGGCAGGGCGCTAGCCAGCACATGAATAAGGATGCAGTTAGCAAGCAGAGGGAGGGGAGCCAAGCACAACAGCACAGGGAAAAAAAAAAAAAGAGCGTTGTGCTCTGCTGGTCCAGCTCTTGTAACCGGTGAGATACTCCTCTGGCTGCACCAGTGATGTGAATTTATAAAAAAAAAATACCCTGTGGAATAACATCTTAATGCCCCAGGAGCCTCTTGGACCAGTACAAGGTGGTAACTGGGTGTTTTTAAGGAGAGCCTGGGTCAGAAGGGGATGCCACCCCCTACGAGATGTCCCATGCCTGGTTCCATGCTGGGGAAGGGCCTGGGTGGGATTCCTCCATCCAGGCTGCTCAGCCCCTCTCAGAGCCAGCCAAAATAATTATTTTTGCGCTGCCTAATTTTGACTCTCGAGTGCCAGCGCTTCCTATAGTGCTATCTGCAATCTCAGCTGCAATATTTCCCTTGCCAGATTTCTCACTCTTAATAACAGGGTATAATTAGCGCTAATTAATATGAAACACAGTAAGCAAGAATTCCAGTAGTTTCCCCTGCTGCTTTTTCTCATCAGCTAAGATTCATTGGTGGCTCCTGGGTTATGACCTGGGACGGGGAGAGAGAACTTCCAGAGCGCACAGGGCGAGAAGGAGCGGGCTTCTCTAAACGGGACCCTCTAAAGCACAACGTGTCCTGCTCATCTGCAGAGGGAAGCACTGAATTCTCCTCCAGCTCACTGTAACCTGCAGGAAAGAGGCTGTTGTTGTGTCCCTCTGTGATTCCCTAAGAGCAGAAGTCAGGTGTTGAATGTTTCCTTCCCCTCACCTCGGGACATGATGGTGCTGCAGCAGCCGCAGGGCAGCACGCGAGCTCGGAGGGGCTGGTGGCAGCGCCTCGGTGGGAAACCTGCCGTGGGTGAAGGCTGTTCATTACTGTTCAGACACGGCTGTAGCCTCACTCCCCGCACTGCATTAATTCACTCAGACTTCTCAACTTTTCTTTCCCCCTCCACTTCCAAAAGCTGCCGGAGCTTATCAGGAGATGAAAGATTGAGGGACATGCATAATTAATGGGCTGGCTTTATTTAAATAATTTAATTTTGCCATCACATCTGCATTCTTCAGGTATGGCTTTAATTCTTTAATTACAGAAGAGCGTGCCGCAGTGCTTTGCCTGATTAACAGTGGAAAATTAAGGCTAGAGTGGAGTGTGGGGGGAAGGATGTGTAAATACGGTAATAAGCATATAAAGCAGCCTGATGAAGAGGTGAAACCAAAGCACATCTTCAGCTCAGCCAACCTGCCTCCTCTAAGGGGAAAAACCTGGAAGCACTCAGGGAGAGACTTGGCCAAACCCACGGCCCCGTTCAGCACAGCCGGACCGTGGCTGTCCTGAATGGGCTGCACCCAGCTCCCTCTGGGGAGCTTTTGGGGTCCCAGGAGAGCAGTGAGGGTCTCCGGGGTGGCAGAAGCCAGATGGGGCTGGGCAGACCTGGAGGCATCCCAAAAAACAAAGGCTGACTTTGTGAAAAGTTTTGCAGAGCTCCTGCTATCGATGTCGCATTTAGAGAGCAGGATTGAGGTGTTAGGGTCAATAGAAGCCCAATTCTCTCGCTGCATGCTGGTGTTTTCACCTTCTAGAAATGAAGAAAAAAGTCCACAGTCTGTTTAGGCAAGCTCATTTGCCAGCAATTACCCAAAGACCAATATTGGTGCCAGCTACAAGAAATAGATTTCCCTTGGCTCTGCTCCCAGCCCAGCACTGAGCAGAGGTGAGTAGGTACCCCAAATTGGGATGGCAGCAGAGAAGGAAACAAGAAGTGAGTAATTTGAGAAAAAATCATCAGGACTGTGGTGCGATGCTCCCGGCCCTCTCTGCAGCTGGGTCTGGATGAAACCCCCACAATTAACCCAATTAACCGGCAGCCACAGATGGGAATAAAGCAGCTCCAAGAGGAGGCTGTTCAAAGCCTTTGAGCAGTGCTGCGGAGAGGCTGCTGCTGTCAGAGCCGGGCTGATGAAGGCTGCAGTCCCCAACCAGGGTGCACGTGCAGCCCTGGAATATTAAATCTAATGGGAAGACGATAATGATTAATTATCCCACCCGTCTACAGGGGGGAATAATTTTCTCCTTACTGGAATAACTAAAACAGCTTCTTTTACATGGTAATGGCACTTTGCTGTCACACGGCATCTTAAATCCCAGCACTTTGCACCTATCTGACTAATTGGGACGCAGCCTTGCCAGGGCTGGCTGAGGCATCCCTCCAGGATTGCTCTGCCCACTGCCGAACTGCGATCTTCTCTGGGGTCAAACACAAACGCTGCCAAAGATCAGCCTAAAGTGCCCAACCAGGGCAGGAAGCCGAGGTACCTGGAGGCACCAAGCCTGGCTGGAGCAAGCAGGAAAATCCCGAGGGCTGATTTCTGCAAGAGGGCCTCGTCTGCAAGTCACGGTGTAAGTACAAATGAAATGCCACCTCTCTTTTTTTTTTTTTTTTTGTCTTCCAAAGTCTGGAAAATGAATAATGCATTTTCCCCCCTAGCGCTGAACTATAAATTCTCCTTTTAGTGCGTGGAACATTTCTGAAGAGAAAAGGCACCCCGGCTGCTGCACCCTCCTCCCCTCGACTCGCTCGCTCCCTTCCTCCCTTCAAGATGCAAAATCCCAGTTAAATAATACAAAAATATGTCATACTTGGGTTTTTCATTAAAGTGCAGGCTTACTGTGGTTGCTGCTCATCTAACAGCCCCCTGTGACGGATTTCGTATCACTCATCTGTTCAGATGAGGATGCGAGGAATTCGTATAATCTTGGCATCTTCCTAGGAGATAAACCCAAGTGTTTATCCCAAGGCCCCGGTGAAGCTCGGGGAGCTGCAGCATAACACAGAGCAGCTCAAGTGCCAGGAACCACTTCTGGCTTTGCTAGCAGCTCTCTGCACACCCTTTGGCAGATCCCTCATGCTCCTCGCTTCTCCAGCTTCCCAAATGGCCCCAGTACCTTTTTTAAGGGACCTTAACTGGCCCCAAAATATGGCTTCAAAAGCTCATTGCAGTGGGTTTTGCTATAGCAACCTCTTCTAAGGTTTTCACAGCTCCACCCCTGGGTCATACCATGGTGCTGGGCTCTGTGTTTTCCTCCAGGGAAGGGGGAATGGGCAGGAGATGCTGGCGACAGCAGGAAAAGGGCTGCAGAGCCATCGTTGTCCATCTTTGCTGAAGCACAGCCCCACAGTGGCTGTGTGTGGTGAGCTCCCATGGTTCAGATCCCACAGGCAAGAGCAAAGGTGGTGGAGAGCCTGCACACAGTTCTCAGCCCTGCTAGGAAGAGGGAATCCTTCTTCAGTGGAAATTTTTAATGAATTCCTTCTCACACACACGGTGAAGCAGACAAATGCCATCGCCCCCATCCTGCAGCTGAGCCTCAGCGCTCGGAGACGCAGCGTGGCGAGGGGATGCTGCCCAGGGGAGGAGGCTGGTCGGCAGCACCGGCACCCAGAGCAGGGTGGCAGCACCTTGTGAGCACCATGTCCCTACCAGCTGCCCCAAGAGGAGGTCCCTGCCAGCTCTGAGGCAGCAGAGAAAGCTGGAGATGCAGAGAGGGACATGCCTGGTTAGCTGGGAGGGGAGCACAATTTGGGACTGGGTACCTGGTAAAGCAGTGCCCTGCAGTAGCCACGGCTGGGCCTGCCAAAACAGCCAGGAAACTGAAAAAAGTCATCAGGAGTATAAGATCTACTCCCCATTTTCCCTAGTCTAGCCAGAGCAAGCTGTAATGGAGAGATGAGACGTCCAGGGATGCTGAAGCACACAGCTCCCACCACTGCTGGAGGAGTTCAAACGCTTGGCTGACCTTCAGACCGCGGCGCAGAAACGTCTCCAGGTTTCAGGCATCGCTGACAGCTGAGGGCACCTCGACACCCTGCGAGGAGGTGTAAGGATGAGAGAAGCTGATTTGTGGCGGCCGTCCCCCAGCTCTGATGTGATCACCAGCTCTCTTGTTGCAGTCCCAGCAGACCCAGCACCGTTCCCATCTCAGAAAGCCCTTTCACGATTATTACTTTATCGCTGTCACGGTGCCAGGAACACCAATTGTTTCCAACCTTTAGGAAACGAGCCAAAGAGGGCGGCTGAGTATTTTCCTGTAGGACATCCAGCTGTGATGATGCCATGAGTAAAGTTGAGCTAAGGGACTCGCAACGGAGCCCTCGGGTGGGGATGGAGCGGGGAAGCAAAGGCTCAGACACAACAACCTCCCCAAAAAGGGGGTGGCAGCACCCTCACCTGCAGGACAAACCTAGCGAGGGGGGAATTCCTGGTGTTTATTTTTCACGGTGCTGCTCAGGCAGAGATGGTTGGGAAGCAGACCAGCAGCAGAGGGGCATCTGGTGGTGCCCAGTCACCAGGTGGAGCAGAGGCGAGCGCAGCCCGTGTGCGTTTCCACCAGGCACCTCGGTGTGCCAGGCGGAACGCAGCAGTGGGTCAAGCATCAAACCTGATCACTGTTTCTCTACACATGATAATTTATGATCCTGGTCTTAGCACGTATTTTCAGGAACTGCCATTTGAATTAGGATGAAAACAGAAATTAACTCGCTTTGACTACTAGGAAGAACCAAGGTGGATTTACTGAATGTTTTCCAAACGTGCTGTATTAGGGATGGCAGCGTATGGCTCCTGGGTGCCTGAACCCACAAACTGTGTGTGTGTGGCTGGATAACCCACATCCCACAGCAGAGGACAGAGGGAGCTGGCCAGGGCTGCTGGCCCTTGGTAGAGGGGGAGCCTCGTGACTCTGAAATGATCCAGGAGGTGCTGCCACATCTCCGAGCTACGTGAGCATACATTGCATGGCCATCAGCCATCGGATGGTGGCAGCCCATAGCTCTGCCAGGAATGAAAGACACCAGGCAGAGGGAGAGAATCACTCTTTCAGCTACCTAAGCCCTGATTGCAGCCTCTGAAACTGAGACCGTTGTTGCATACGTGCTATGGTCAGGTCACCGCAGGACTGTGCCATTTGGTCATCGTCTCATTTGCTTTCTGAGAATACTGAAGTTTTACCCAGGCTGAGAGTTTCAAAGGATCCTCCCCCGCAGAAATTTGCAAGGGGTTTTACAGCAATCCAGTAAGAGTGTGGAAACAGCAGCCGATGAACAGCACAGAGCACTTCGTTAATGCAGAGCCACTAATGAAATCTAGCAGAGCGCCAGACCTGATCATGACAAATATATTTGTCAACTCCTTTCAATAAGGAAGGAATTAAGCAAAATTGCAACCTGCTGCTAGATATTCTCTTCAAAGAGAAGGGGAGGGAAATCAGCTGTAAATTATTCCCTGTGAATTACCACTTAGCTCTCCCGATGCCTGATGGAGAGGCCACGGGTGCTTTTGGGCAGGGCTGAGCCCAGGCTGGGCATGGCGAGCTGCAGCTGCCCTGGGAGAGGTGGCAGTAGCGGATCACCAGCTCCACTGACCCAGCACAGTGGTGCTCAAGCACTTTTTGCTGGGGTTGTGACACTCTGCACTGCTTTCACCTGGCCTGGGTGCCCACACAGTCCATTGAAGTCACCTCCTCCATCCTTCGGCGTGCCCAAAATGAATAAGACAGCCTGGCTGCACCCGCATGTTCCTGACATCACCTCTTTCCTGCTGTTTGTTGGTTGTACTTTTTACGGAATAGGTTTAAGTTTCTCGTTTGTTGGAGACAGGGCGAGCAAGGCTGCAGAGAGCAATGTACAAAGTGGGAGCCTTATAATGGAATTTAAAAATTGATGAGGAAAACTGGAACAATCTAAACTGATGTTAACTGAGTAATTAGGCAACATCAGGGCTGCAGTTTCTTTCATGCATAAGTGGCCATTAGGCAGCTACTACCCACACAACCTTTTTCCTCTCTCCTGGTCCTACAAGGACAGATTAAGCCTGGAGCCCAAGCATCCATGAGCTGTGAACAGGGTCAGAGCGAGGGCTTTGCACAGGGAGAAACCTCAGCTGCAGGGTCCCACTTTGGACCCCCAGACTACCCAGCTAATTGATGTAAGGGATTTCCGTTTCTCTCCCAGGTGTGTGGCCATGACATTTTATCCTTCCTATCTGAGAAACTGCAGGATGGGGCAACAGGCAGAGCCCCAGGCCCAGCACAAACCCTGCACACATGGTCCCACTCCCAGTGAATGCCTCCTGGGTGGCTGCAGCCCTGGCAGCTGGCACACAGAGCTGTGCCCTGCTCCCCTCCCTCCGTGGTTAATTATTCCAGCATTTCATTACTCACCTCACTTGGTTTCTTCGTTTCTCCTCCAGTGACGAATGAATTTCCAGGTGCTCTGTCGAGTGCTGTAGAGCGGAACCAGCGCAGCCGCTGCGTGGCCGTAATTCGCTTGGACAGCTGCACGGCCGCTGCTGCTGCCTCCTTCCTCCCCACCACATCCCCCTGGTGCAGACGGGGTGTGAGGAGGAAGAACTTACCCTGCCCAGAGCCACCTGCCCTCCTCATCCTCATGTGCAATTGCATCACGTCTGCACCCCAAAACACAGACCCCAGACATTGCATGGCTTTAAGCACAACAGGGTTGGGCAGCACCAGCTTGGCAAAGTCACACCGAGCAGGGTCTGTGCGATCTGGGAGCCAGCAGCATGTGGGGTTAAAACAAAAACCATCTTGAGCATCCTGAGTGGGGCCCAGCTGGACTAGACGAGGCAGGGTGGCTGCTTCATCTAATTCAAGCAATTAGCGGGGTGTTTCCTTTCGCCGGCCTAAGTTCTGTTGAAAAGCAAAGGGAACTGCAGCCGTGGGTGGACTGTATGTATGGGGCACCCCCACGAGTTAATCAGTCATTTACAAAATGCTGATATAAATTGCTGTTAATTAGCTCTGTAAATGCTTATTCTGCTGGCTAAATTAGAACCTGCTGGAAGGGGTCAGATGTGCCAGCACAGCTTAATGTTATTTATTGATTTCTAAGGGGACTCTGTGGAGGTTTGGGGAGCCCTGAGAGACAGGTGAGCTCCACAGGCCTCTCGTTTTGTTATTTGGTTTTCCTCACCTGTTCTCTTTCTGTTGCTTCCTTTGTGTTTGGCTGATTCGGCACTGCTGAACATCATGGCAGCATCCTCAGACCTGGAGACACAGCGCTGGCTGACCCAATGGGGCAGGTTTTCTCCTCTCCAGCTTCTGTTTCCCTCTACACGAGCTGGGTTTGGACTTGCAAACCCTGCTCCCCAAACCGTCTCTACCACATCTTCACACCATGCTCAGTGCTATGGCACCCAGGGCAGCCCACAGCCCTTGTTCATACACTGACAGTCTGCTGGTGCCCAAGGGGACGTACTTTAAGGACACTAAATCAGAAGATTACAGTGCCCAAAGTGGGCAATAGCATAAAACTGGGCCTGCAGCAGGGGCCCGGTGGCCTTGCCCCGTGACAAGGCCTGGCTGCAGGACCCCAGCCAAAATGGCGCCCTCGTGAACCAAAAGGGTGACCAGAGACCTCCCAAAGGTGCTGACAATCCTTCCTCCGTCCGTGTCCTCCTAAATCAAACAGGAACAGTGCTGTTGCCCCAGAATTCAAAGTAAAAAAATGTCTGAGGTTCACTGGGCCATGGCCAGGCTGTGCCCAGCTCCAGCGCTGGCCAACACACGGCCCAGCGTGCTGCCTGCTGAAACCTCTCGCTGCCTTCCTGCCAACCTCATTTCAGGTAAACCAGCCGAGGCCAGCTGAGAAGAGAATGAAACGAGAAAGACGAAGCATCTGGCTTAGAAATCAGACAAATAAAAGGCAACGGGAAAGCCACAGAGAGCAGCAAACTCGCATCAGCGAAGCCGGCGTGGGCAGAGCAGGAGCAGGCAGCAGGACATCAAAGAGCGTGGAACACCCTTTTTATAAAACAAATTTTGTCAATCAGCGCTGAGACACAAGCTAATTGCAGTCAGTCACCGGCGAGGGGGAGGGAGGAGGCGTTCAGCAGAGAACACAACCTAATTAAAGCAAATTGGGGCATCCTGGAGCAGACCCACCGGAGCTGACAGGCAGCCTGCAGAAGCCGGGGGCTGCGCAGACCCCGCTGTCCCACCACCCAGCAGGGCTCTGCTCACAGCCCTGTTTCTTCCTGCCTGCAGCGCTGAATAGGCCCGATAAAAACCTGCTGGAAAGGCAAAATAATCAATTCTGCACACAGCCAGGGATTAACCCCGAGCTCTGGGATGGGGCAGTGACAAGTCGTTATTTCCTGCACCACGCTGAGGCTGCGACCTGGCCCTACAGCAGCGGCTGGGGAGGAACCACCACCTGCACGGATGGAGAGGAAAAGCAGGGATATCTCACGTTGGTGGTGCTGTAACTCAAGGAACAGCTCTTTAACGTGGTCCCAGGGACTGCTGGACTCCACCGTTTTGGTAGGGGCATGGAGATCTTTCTTCCAGGCTGCTCACTGCTGCAATTAAATGATTAATTTGTTGTCTGGCTCTACCTTTCTCTAGGGCTCAAAGGGATTAAAGTTCTGCCCTGTTTAGTTTCTAAGCTCCGAAATACTTCATTTGGAGTCTCGGCCAGAAGAAAGGGACTGGAAGGGGACAGAAGCCTGAGGGTCGTCACCCCAAGGTTGCCCTCCAATGCTCCAGCAGGAAAAGCAAACCACTGGAATCCCTGAGATCAGGCTGAATATGGGTCAGAGCAAAAACATGTTGACAAACTCTACTGGGGAAACCAGAAATGAAAACGTGCCTATTTATCACTGAAAAATTCATCAACTTCAGACACACTCAGAAAGCACGACAGCAGACACGTAACAACATATTCAGTGTCCCTTTCCAACTAGAAAATTCTCTGCCAAATTAATTTCCAACTTGAAGCAACGCGAATTCAGCACCAGGCCTGGATCAAGAGACATTAACAGCAGTTAGTCTCACTTTGGGGAGCTGTGCTCCCGCCTTCAGTAGTAAAGTCGAGATATAAATCACAGTTTCAAGGGTTTTGTTTGTTTCCTTGAGGATCTTAAGTACCTGTTTTCAAAGGGGCTCTGCTGATCTGCCGTGGTGGAGGACCCGTGAGCTCCCTGAGCCCTCCCAGCAGACCGAGCATCAGCTCCCTGCTGGGGGGCAAGGGAGGGGGGGAATGAGACCACAGCTGGAAAAACATCACATCTCATTAGTGCAGAGCAAGTGAGAAGAGAGGAGGGCACCAAAAGGGCTGGCAGACAGATGTCGGTTTGGTTCAGCTCCTTGCAGATCAGCCTGCTGCTGGCTGCACAGCGCAGACCGCGTCCAGATTGGGGCTGTCTGCCCAGGGCAGGGAGAGGCGTGCCGCGGTGCTGATGGGGAAAGGGGCAAGGTCTGGCCTGAGTCCTCCACCTTTTGCTGCTGCTGTGCGTTGCTGAGAGCCGGGACATGCTTCTGAGCAGCTGTGGCACGAGGCCAGGACGTGAAGGTCAGGAGCTTCCCCCAACCTCCAGCCCCAGGGCCATGGGTGCATCCCCGCTGTCCTCATGCATGGGCACGTGTGTGCGTGCAGGTCAGCATCCGGAGGACCCTAGAAGAAAACTTTGGCAGCTCATGAAAAAGGCACCAGAGGAATGTAAGAAAAGCAATGCAAAAATTTATATTTTATTTTAATTCAAAAATTTAAAATAGCTTTCAAATTCAGTAAAGTATGCCTGGACACAATGAAAAGCCTCATATACAGAGACAGATAAATTAAATTGTATATATTGCAGACAAGCCAAGTGTATGTATAGATTACATATTTACACTTTTATGTAAACCATATTTATACATTTTATTACATTTACAAAAAAAAGCTGATCTTCCACTACTGTTTACTACAATAATGAAAAAACATTTACATTGTGTCTTTACTGTACAAACTTTTGCTTCATAAAAATATATCTCTGTACAAAAGAGGGATTTTTTTTTCTTTAATTTTTCTTTCTTTTTTTTTCTTTTTTTCCTTTTTTTCTTTTTTAAACATAATGCAAGTCCTCTGGGCGCAAGAATGAAGAATTTCATGTATCAGGTCCCAGCCAGCTTGCAAAAAAATGGGACAAGACCCCCGCCACTGCCTTTGTTGCTTGGGCAACAGTAGAAAATGGTACATAATAGGCTGAAAGCAGCAAGTCTCGTTTAAGTACAGCTCCCATTCTCCCTACCTTGCTGTTAAAATACCTCGGGCTCGTTTTACACACCTTGACACAAGCTTCTCTTTGCTATTACTTTGATTGAGTGGGATTTGGAAAGGTCTGAAAAGCAAATGTGGGACCTGTTGTTGTGTGCGTACATCGCTCCCCTCTGCCCGAGCTGCTCGGTGTGTGCCAGGAGCTGGGCTCTGCTGGCAGCTGGGAGAGGATTTTCTGCAGCTCAGCAGCAGGAGCCCGGTGAGGTTCGAGCTCTGCTGCTGCTGTTGGGGGATGCTGCAAGGTGCTGGAGTTGTGGGTACTGAGAGAGGAGTCAGGATGTTGCCATCAATGGCACCAGAGCACAGGGGACTACAAAAGGGTGCTGCCTTCAGAATTTGTTTGGTTTCAGGATCTGCGATTCTATCATTTGCCATGCAAGGGAGCCTGGTCTCTTTGCTGTGATACGGGGATTTGGCAAAGGCAGGGAAGAATAGGCTGTAGGTTTGGCCAAGGGCATGTATAACATTAGAGTAGAACAAAGTATAACAAAATTAGAGTAGAAGGGGCCTTTGAAGTCAAATACGGGCCAGAAGAGCAGGTGTGAAGTCAGGAACCAGCTCTCTCTCTGCACACAGAAGCAGGAACCTGGGGAATATCCTGATCTCGGTTACATCAGTGTGCGAGAGGCAGCTCCTGACTTCACCACAGCAGCTCAACTGAAGCAGACAAACTGCAGGGGAGATGTGCCCTGGCCCCAGCCTACTTGGGGTCCCCTCCTCTTACCTCCCCTTCAACTTGCCCTGAGGTCCGTGTCCTGCAAGCTGGAGATGCTCCGGGAGGGGCAGGCGCCCTGCCAGCCCGTCCTGGCTACCTGAAGGAACATAGTCCCACAGCCATGGAGGGCTGCAACTGCCTCCACCTGTATATTTGGCACGAGCTGGCAGCGTAGCTTGCTGCAGGACTCGCTCTGTCAAGGTCCAGCACTGGCCCTGAGCTACGTGTGCACCCACCTCCGTGCGGCAGCGCCTGACTTTCCTCCACGTTGCATCAGGGCTCTGGCTCGCACATGAGCTTCCACCCACCTCTGAGGAATAAATCAGAGTGCCTCTGCAATGCTTTGGGGAGCAAAGGCGGCATTTTTTGGCAGGCTGGCTGGTGAGCAAATAGGCTGTAGAACGCTGCTTACTCTAAGAGTGCTGAATAAGAGACAGAAGTAAAAAAAATAATATATATTTATACATATACACGCACACACACACGCACACACAGTAAACAAATAAACAAAACAGAAAAAAACTACCCTGTGGTGTTCATTAGACAAAACCTCAGCTGATGTTAGGTAGGGGAGAGCCAGTGTTTAAATGCAAGCATGGATGTAAACACCACCCCTTTTGTTTTAATTATTCTCCCATCAAGTTTTCTGTAAGAAAAAGATGCCTCATTGACTTACTGCTCTAAGTCAACTGTATTTCAGAGAGGTGCTTGACATAGTTTGGTAAAATGGCACTGTTGCCTTCGTTGACTCTTGTCTGGTGTAAGAAACTGTGACTCAAACCAAACAGACTAAACCCCTAAATCAACAAGAGCAGCGCTCCTCTTTATTAGAGGAGGAAAGTGTCATCACAAAAGCATCGTTCGTTTATAAGGGAGGAAAAATGTCAAGCTGCCTTATCTGTTCTCACGAAAGCCAAGCCAACCTTTCTGCTCCTGGGAAATAAAGGGAAGAGCTTTGGATAGAAATTAAAACTCTTATTGCATTGCCATTTGGAGGATCAATATGGAAAGGGCAAAGGCTTCTGAACGCTACTGGTGTGCGTGGGGGCACCGTTATTTGTTATAGTTATTTTTAAAGAGGTTTTTGTCCCTTCGTGTCTGTCAGCAGTTTTCTTATTAGGGTGTTTGGGAATGGCTAAAATTGGCAGTCACCAGGAGAAGGCCAGAGGTGGAGGGAAGTATTCTTATCAGCCCTGAAAGCAGCCTCAGGTTCAAAGAGACAGTGTCAATGACAAAGACGGGGGCAGAAGAAACCCAACAAGAACGTACAAAGGAAAATTAAATACAGGGGAGAAAAGTTTGAAAAGGTCCCATTTGAAAACATCTGCTTAGACAAACCGACAAACAAGCCATACAACCAGATAAAGACAAATCAAGTATTCACCTTCTCCCGTACCGGTATTTTCCATGAACCCCAAGCAGCACCTCATGCAGTGCCACCTGCATTTGTCCTTCCTGTCCAAGCTCTCCCCAAAAGTGGAGGGGACCCCACACACCCCGCTGCTCCCTGCAGCGTATCGATCCCACCGCCTCACTTCCCAGGTCCTCCACTTCCCCAGGCCTTGACATCGGGCTGAAACCCACCGGGAGCACGGGAGAGAGGAGCTGTGCTGGAGCAGACCTTTGGTTGGCTCCGTTATCCACGGCAGGATGCAGAAGGAGGACGAGGATGACAGAGGACAACCCAGCAGTCTCTCGGGAGTTAACACAAAGTCCAACAAGGTGTAGCAGCTTCTCCACAGCCTCAACACGGTTGGGAGGAGGGAGATGGGAGGGAATGGATGGAGGCTAGTGAGGTGAAACACAATCATCCGCTAGATACCAACCCGGAGGAGTCTGGACAACGGGAAAGGAAGGGAGAGAGAGAAGGAAACAGTTGGTTCTTACGAGCAGAAGTGAAAGCCCGTAAAGCTTTGCTATCTCAAACTAAGAACTTGCCAGGCTAGAAGTGCCCTCGAGGGCCGCTTGATGCTTTTAGAATCACAGAATCACAGAATTTTGTTTACAATGACAAGTTATTCCTCTGCCCCTGTGCAGTAAAACTTTTAATCCGCTTGGTTTACCCTCCCCTGTACCTTTTGTACCACTGTACAAAATGCCCTGTCTGCAACCACAAAGGGAACCACTCAGCAGCACACCAGTATGTTATTCGTGACCAGTTCAGCCCAGCTGGGTTGGGGTGGGACAGAAATGTGCTGGCACTGTCCCCATCTCGTGCTCCCTTTCTGCCCACTCACCGCATGGGGACGAGTGCTATACAGCTGTGCACACAGTGCTGACTGTGAACTCCGTCTCGTTGGCCATGATGTCCGTGGGCTGCAGGTTTCGGTCATACATAGGGTTTTCAAATGTTGCTCGGACGTTGGTGTTTTCATGGCCTGCATAGCCATTGAATGGGACTTTTGGTCTTCTCCTACAGAAAGCCAGAGAGAAAATCCAGAGAGGTCACAGCTGCTCCTGCTGTAGGTGGCACAACAGCACTGGCAAAGTCAGTGGAAAGGAGAGAGCTGCTTTTGAACAGGGTAAACACCTGGGGGAAAGGCAGCAGGGATCTATAACAAATCTTATTATAGACCTGTGGTAAAGGAAGCTCTCTGGGCTTTGCTATAGGCCTAAGCATGCTCCGTCTGCAGAGCAGCCAGTCCACACAATGCTTTGAAGTGCAACAACATTTCTACAGCAACGCACTGATCAGGAGAAATTCGTGATTTACAACATATGCAAAGCCGAAGTATGAAATTTACTTTGCCTTATCCTACTTAATGTTGCCACAAATCTTATTGATGGTCATAATAGCGCTCAGCACTCTCCTCTCCTAACACCCTTGTCCTTCCATGCATGCTTGCTCCATTACTTTTTTACTTTCTACATTAAATGAGAAACCAGGTCTAGGGGGAGTGCTTTTAAGTCAAGCTCACAAATATTTCTGTCACCCCCATTATTTTGTTTCACTTACTGGCATCTTTCCTGAAACCTACCTGTGTTTGTACAGATAAAGCACGAACCCTGCAATAATCAGGGCTATGAAAGGCACAAGAATGGCAGCTGCCACAGAACTGCTGTTTGATGCAAAATGGTGTCCTATTGATTCTGGATCATTTTCCATCATGCTGATGTCTGAAACACAGCAAAGGTAACCAAATTTCAAAACACCGCTGCAGGAAATGGGGTTTGCTTGACTTACAGGCTACCTCTTCAAGGACAGAACAAGTTACAAGTGTTGCTGTAAAAGGTAATCAAA